TATTGCAGTCCAGCAGTGGCATACCGATTCATATGCTAGGATGTTTTAGAGTTTGTTGTCTGGCAATTTAAATTTTCGTAATGGTTTCTATTTACTGGGACTCAATATCAAGGCTTTACACGAGCCAACGTTTCTCCACTATGTTGGGTATATAAACAATTTTACCTTTTCTAGCCCCGCCTAATAATAGCTACTATTTTATACTCGTTCTAAATATGCCATAAATAAAATAAACTTTAAACCCATGAGAGATACTTTTCCTCTATACTAATATGTATAAATTTGTCATTGTATGTGTCTGATCAGAAACAGCTTCATAGTAATTTTCTTCACTGCAATTATAATTATTATCGAAGATATGAAGACCAAGATAGTGTGGCCTTTTGTGTGGTCGCAGACTCCTTTCGTTGTATAGAGGTCGTCTGACCTTGTTTTCCCAACATGGTCATATTGGTAGAAAGACTTAATGGAACAAACCTAGTCCGGAGTCCATTGTATGCAAAATCATTTCCAGAGTAGGACCGTGAACGTGGTACATTCCCAGACGCTTCGCATCTTCCATGAGCCTTGCCAGTCATAGTCTCAAACTACAACTCGTCAAATAGACAAGGGAAGCAGATAATTTGACTAAACTTGTGCTAAACAGTTGTGGTATCTCCCTTTCTGCTCTGGGCTATTCACATTTCCTATATCCTCCTATCACACCGTCACGGTTACAATTTTTTTCTTTGCTTATTTTAATCTAGTATGGTGTGACCCTTTGAGCGGATTTCATGAGAACCCTCAGCACTGCACGCTGGCGTTTTCACCCCTCTTCACCCTTGTACTGGGAATGTTGATCAGTCTGCCATATTGCTACGCAGTCCTCCTTTCATAGGTCTTATCTGAGTCTCTATCTTGCCCCGTAGAATTCGTCTGATATCGCCCTGGTTCAAGCATTTCACTCGACCTCTGCCACCCCATTTTGCTACTTGAGGCGTTAATTCCCACAGTGAGTCTAAGTGACTATTTCGAGTAGGTCTCATGGTCACGCTTTTGCTACATGGACCACTTCTCTAGTAAAACTTTCAGCCAACTAGCTCCAGCCTCCGCCGCGTCTATCCTGTCTCTATCCCTAATACCAAATCTATGACTTGCCATGCGCTAGTCTCTTGTGTACCAAACCCACAAACGTTGTGTTTCAACATTAAACCTAATCAAAGCAAGCAGTTTCACAACATTTGTGGTTTGTCACACAAGAGACTATGGCATGGGAAGTCATAGGCTTGGTATTAGGGATAGAAAGAGAATAGACGTAGCGGAGCCTGGAGCTAGTTGGTAGACAGTAGGTCTGTTGTACTATAGACGTGGTCTATGAGACGACGATGAGACTTACTCAGAGGCGTGACCCTCGAATTAGTCACCCAGACGCAATGGAGGGCGGATAATGCCTCTTGTAGCACAGATGGGGTGGCAGGGGTCAAGTGAAATACGTGAATCAGGGAGAGAGCAGACGGATCTTACGGGGCAAGAGAGAGACTGTGATAAGACCTAGGGAGGGAGGACTGAGTAACAATATGGCAGACTGATAAAGATTCCCGGCACAAAGGTGAAGGGGGGTTAGAACGACAGTGTGGAGTGAGAAGGGTTTTCATGAATACCGCCTAGAGGAGCACACCACACAACATCGAAATAAGCTCGGTAAACACTATAACAGTGAAGATGTAATAGGAGGATATAGGAAATGTGAATAGCCCAGAGCAAAAGGGGAGAAACCACAACTGTTTAGCACACGTTTGGTCAAAGGATCTGTTTCACTTTTCTCTTAGGCGAGTTGTTGTGTGGTTCTAAGAATGGCGAGACTCACTGACGATACCGGCGAAACATCTGGGAATATACCACGTCCATGGTCCGACTTTGCAAATGTTCATGCTTACAATGGACTCCGGACAAGGTGCGTTCCTCTAAGTCTTCCTACCAATATGACCAAGTTGCGAAAACAATGTCATACAATTTGCATATTTTTAGAGGTTGTTTGACCTTGTTTTCGCAACTTGGTCATATTGTTAGCAAGACTTAGAGGAACACACCTACTCCGGAGTCCATTGTATGTATAAACAAGGTCAAAAAACCTCTATACAACGAAAGGAGACTGCGACCACACTTAAGGCCACACCATCTTGGTCTTCATACCTTCGATTGAATATTTTTAGTTTGAGCAGATATTTCACATTTGCTTGAAACCACCTATGATCCTTCTGACTTTGTTTCCAACTGTCTGAAAGCGTTTTTACGGCCGATAGTGCTGATTCATCCCTTCTTGAATGAAATAGAATGATATTCGGAGCACGCATCCTATCAAACCAGATATTCTTTTTCATCATGGGTCTTCTTTTATGTAGACCTCATCTCGATCTAAACGTTTATCAGGACTAAAATCCAGCATCCTAACCTCTTCGAACACATAACCTCAGAACTACTTAAATAGCTTAGTTGAGCTCGCGACTTGAGCCCTCATAAAATATTGGGCTTTAATATCTCGAGAAGCTTCACGGAAAATTCCACCCCTTTTCTCCGCAATACATCACAATCGTCTCAGATGTTATTCTATGATCGTTTCTCTGGCTTTGATAACCCAGATTGGGTCAGTTTACTTCATTAAAGCTAGAAGTTTTCTCCTGGGTTCTCTAAATATGATTTTAGTGAAATTTTATTTATTACAGTGCGCGCTATTCGTGAATTTTATGCCTGACGTCATAGTAGTCGACGCTAGATATAAGTTCGCAAACGCAATTCTCACACCTTACTTTACCTTATGAATTTATTTACAGTTTCGCTCTCATGACCATTTGCAGCATATAAATAGAATTTTCTAGGCTATGCTATATTGAGTTTATCTTCACTTACTGCGCCTTTCTCTCATGTGATTAATTCGTTTACTATATAATATGTTAGTGTAACAAAATGCATGCATTACCGTACATGTTTGCATACGTGTATACATATGTATATATATGTGTATAGAAAAATTTCGTTTATCATTTTCGCATTACTAGGCACCGATGAGAGAGTTTTAAAGCGCTCCTGATTGGTTCGAATGTTCACATATCCTGCTTCTCTGAAATCACGATTTTTTCGCTCATTCACTGTCACTTGATCGACTACAGTCTGTCATCAACGCAAACTCTGTTGGCTCCAACTTCTGCCTCTTTTCACTCCACCACGCCAGTTCAACTCTATGCTCATCGAAGAGGCGTCCAGCTCTGATGAAATGAAACTCCGCTACAGGGGTGAGCGAATCAGTAGCGAAGGTATCGATGCCTCTTCGATTAGCGCTCTTCCTGACAGCTGCGAATTGGACTTATCCCATAAGGCAGATTGCCCCCACACGCGTGTGGATCTACCGAACAATGGCTTAGTACCCAACCCTCACGGTAGCAAATATATCAAGTTCAATTGCTATGGCAATGATGGAACAGATTGCCAGCCTTCTTGCTTGACTGAAGTTAATGCTTGCGCTGACAACCAAGATGCTAAGGATACGAAGGAGACGGAAACGGCCGGCAGTTTTTCATCCCTTCATGAGCCGATCTGGCGAGACGTCGCTGATAGGATGCGAGAGGATCTGTTGCGCCAGTTCGACGGACTACTCGTCACCGGTTTGGATACGATGATTTCGGGGGTGCTGGCCAGTAGGCAAGTGTTGCTCGCTGAGCATGAGGATCATTGTTACCATGCCAGGTACGCCTGCTCCATTAATGTTTACTTCGGATCATTCTTTCCACTAGTAATCCGTACATTTCCCAGTCTCTTAACGCTCTTAGCTGGCTAACCCCTCAAAATAATCATAGACAGAACAATTAGCACCACTTACGGCCAGACACAATCAATCAAAAGTTATCTATTTTAAACGAGTTTTCGCTTCGAGTTCTCATAATGACATACTGGTATCTGACTTTTATAGGGCCAGTATAGCTAGTATAAATATGGGTCTTAGGAAATATATCTACACTAATCCTGTAACCACCTAAATAGTTTGAAACTTTTATTCTTTTAAGACCCCATTTTTTTATTGCAAATTCATCAAAAAATATTGATCAGTTTTGGGTGAAAGTAAGACTTAAAACCGAGCTGTATAGACGGAATTTTTAAGCTCGTTGTAAATAAAAATAAAGTGGAAAAATCAAACCTAATACCGATTTTATCCGAGAAGTCTACATTATCATAAATATGAGATTTATTCACCCTATATCTTTTCAGGTGATAAATGGATGTTAGTAGCATTTTCTCACGAGTAGAGCTGACGTTTTCATTGAATTTCGCATAGCCGTGCTTTCACTTTCCCTTTTGGGAAAGAGAAAGCAGTCCTTCATCACATTAAACGAAATAGAGTGAATACCTCTGATATAACTGATTTACTGGTAGTCTCGAAACTCCACTTACATACGAAAAGTGAATTATCACTCCCAACATCACAAATCGATAAAAGTCAAGACTGCATTCTTAGGCGAATATGATTTGTATGATAAGTTGGACTTCCTGGAATCTTTTTATTCATTCTAAACTGAAAAATCCTATAATTCTAATCCTCGACTTTAGAGACATCCAGCTTGCAGCCCCTCAAAAAGACTTGATTTTTTTACGTATTTACATTATAGGTTTGCGTTTGAATAGGTTATTCAAATGAATTAGTTTGACCTTAATTGCTTTAAAGACTAGGTTGTCAGGGCTAATGATGAATTCATCTTGTCCAGATTTCTCTGATATTGTAACCATGATAATTTCAAATTCCAGCATTTCGACTTGACACGTTCCCATTTAGTTTTCTGGATTCAGTAAGCTCAGCAGTATTGATCTTCCTTTTTTCATGGTTAATCCACTTACTCCTTCCTGTCAATCATAGCTTTAAATCGTTTACTTTGAGCCACTCCAGAGATGCACTCTTTTGAGTGGATTTATTGAGGCGTAAAACGTTATATTGTGGAAGAATTAGAGTAGTACTCCTCTGTTTGCAAGCGACAAATGAACAAGAAATTAACGGCTGCATCCAAGAATGTTTATGGGATCTCTAGGCGAATAATAGGTACTTTAATCGAAGGTATGAAGTAAAGGTTGTATAGAAGTTGTTTAACCTCATTTTCAAAAACGTCTGGGAATGTCCTACGTCCACGGTCCGATTCTGGAAATTATCATGCACACTATGGACTCCTAACTAGGTGCTTTAAACTAGGTCTCCCTACCAATATGACCAAGTTGCGAAAACAATGTTAAGAAACTTCTATACCGCGAAATGAGACTATGACCATAGGAAATACCATTCCATCTCGTTCTTTATGCCTCATATTTTTCATTATTTTTTTTTTAAATTTACGATTTATTAGAAGTTGTTTGATCTTGTTTCCGCAGCTCGTTCATATTGGTAGGAAGACTTAGAGGAACGCACCTTGTCCGAAGTCCATTGCATGCATCATTATTTCCAGAGTAAGAACGTGGACGAGATACATGCCCAGACG